TTTTACTATTAAATAACATTTTTACACTATGGAGGCGCTCTCTTTTGTCTTTTTCTCATAGACTGGTGGTCCATCTAATCTGTGGGAGCTGCCTCCACCGTGTTTGCTGTATTTTTACTGCTGGGCTCTTTTTGGATTTGAAGGCGCCGGTATTGTTTTGCAATATCGATCAACATTATTACGCTCAGGTTTGAGTGAAAGGTCCTATTACTCCTACGGTGTAAAGACATTTGTAGACTTCCAGCCTTGTGGTAACCCTTTGGGGAAGGGCCTTTTCTGTTCCAGCATGACTGTTCCCCTGTGCACAAAGCCAACTCCATAAAGATATAGTAAAGTTGGCCAAACACTGTGCAAATTTTAGATGGTTCTTGATGAATCGGCCAAAATTCGTTCAGTGGGAGGCCCTGTCAGCTGCCTTCCATCAGAAAATCGAAGGAACCTGTTAGAAACATTTTAGGTGAAAAGTGACAGCAGCCAATCACATGCCCTCATGGTTCCGATACCCTGACAACGGCAGACCCGCCACTGTCAGAATACAACAGTCCAACAGGAGATTTGTCTATCCGCACCGTTTAGTGTGAATGGAGGAATCTTACATTTTTTAATTCAACCTGCAGCTTGAACATCTAGAGCCTTGGTTCTCAACTGGTGGGTCGTGACCCAAAAGTGGGTCGCAACCCCGTGTTCAGTGGGTCGCCGCCAGCCTTCCTCTTTTCTAGGCGAGAGGCTCCTCAGCCTCCCACTAGCGCAGCAATGTCCGTTCTCGCGCTGAGCAGACATTAAGAATATGAAGCCTGGCACGGAGTGTCAGCTTGAGGTGCAGTGGGCTGGAGCTATGGCCGAGAGGAAGCTGGAATGCCATGTGTTCCATTGCAGTCTAATGGGTCGCGACGTAATTACCAAGGACAAATGTGGGTCCTGAGGTTACGCAGTTTGAGAACCACTGATCTAGAGGCTTTCATTGCTGACTTCTGGTTACCTGGCCATCATGGTGAACCAATGACTTCCATTTTGTTGAGTCACTGACACAGAACAAATGTTCTTATCAGAAATTGTGACTTTGCTAGATGCATGAGCAGTTACTCACAGAAATAAAGTCTGGTTGCACACTGAATAACTCTCGATTCCGGAGCAAGACGGGCTTAGCCGGTGTGTACCTGACATTCTCTCGAGTGCTGCTATGAAGGAGCAGTGACATTGGGCTATGGAAGGCATTTGCTAGCTGCATGCTTTCTTCACTTCCGTGACTTATAAAGTATTGAAGGTAGAGATAGAGGGTCAGCTAGCATTTTTAAAGGAAATTAAGCATCTGCAGCCTACATTATTCTTTCAGGACAGGTTTCCTTTACATATAGTCCATATACCCATCGCTCTCAGATGCCGCTATTCCAATGTGATAAGATGGGTGCTGCGGTTGTCGGCGGATGGCAACCGTCTCGTCAACTGAACAAAAGCATGGACACCGGCACTCCAATAGCTGATTAAGTACGTGTTGCAAAGCAAGTACGTTAATAAATAGATGTACTTTTTGGCCTTGGCCATGCTTTTGTTCAGGTTTCCTTTACATGTCCCTTCTAGTCACCTACACTACTACTACATGGCCTTTCCTTTACCTAGGTTGCCCCTGGTTAAGACACACTGCGGTACAGTCGATGTGTTGCATCACTCATCTTCCAGCAATGCCGGCCGTGACAGTCAGTGCAATGCAAAACGAAGAGGTCGACTGCAAGTAAAATGCAACCATCAGGGAATTCTGAAAAGATCTCAGACGGATGGCTTAGGACCTTTTGGCTGGAGCAGAGCTTAAAAGGGAAAGGAGTGAAATGTAGGGCCCTCTGTTGGGCTTTAGTTCATATCATATGGGTTTTGTATTCCAATAAGTCAGTGAAATACAGGTCAGAAACAGGTCAAATGCACCCGTCAATGAATTCTTAATGATCTCTAAAGATTCTCAAACTGATACCATTGACAAGCCCAAAACCCATCAACACGTGGCCTAATAAAATAAGCAAGTCCTTGCTAGAGTTCAGCTTTAAAGTGAGACTCCAGTTTCTATTATTTAACCAGTCAAAGCTTGACATAGATAAGAGGACTCTCTCCTTCATTCCCTCCTCACTTTCTTTGTCCATTGCTCTGCTATTGATGATACCGAGAATTTCCAGCCGTGAGACAGGAAGCATTACACAACAACATTTCCTATCTGCCCTTTCTGTCATTTACACCCTCCTGGAGTTCTCCAGGCTACAAAGGTGACACAATGATGATCCTGACACTTGAAGAGGGTGTTACAAGTGGCTGAAATATGTTATTAGTTTCCAGTCCAGTGACACTATTGCTGGCTGAGCTGTACTTGTAGCAGAAAGCAAATACTGGCACAAGTGCCTTATTCATAGCTTCTGGGTTATGACTATGGCAGGCTGAAACGCATAACTTATTACTACTTTTGGGACAAGATTACTTTTTTAATAAACTTTGGCTTCAGGAGACACATGCTGGTATTTGTATCTCTCTATTGATGGAGTCCTGGGGGGTGACATATGAGATGGAGTGGTGTATCTGTGATATAGTATCATGGGACTTGTAGACGGCTGAGGCACTCCCAATAGTGAATGGATATGATGTTGGTTCCTCCATCCAGCAGCCAGGCACACCTGCACTTTGCAAGTAAAAGTGATGACATCACAGATTTCTCCTACAAATAGGCCGTCTAATGCATTCTTTCAGCCACACTAAACAGCCAAAATTTGAGCAGTGTATGGCCAGCTTTAGTAAGAGAAACAAAAACCTGTTTTTACTGAGGATGGGGAAGGGAAGTATTAGGCAAACATTAAGAGAATCCTAGAGCTCAGCTTTTTCATTTCCAGGCAAAAAAAAAAGCCCCTTAGAAGTGGGGCTATCCCCACGCTGCAAGGGTTAAGTGGTCATAAGCAGATTTAATTACCTGATCCCTATCCCCCCCCCCATCAGCACTCTTCTCTGCTCCAGTTGTGGAGAATGTTTCTTGGTGTCCTCACATCTAACGCAGGTCTGTGCCATCTGCATTAGACATAATGACATCTACAGTCCTTAGATCGCCGGAGCGAAGAGGCTGAGGGGACCGGTCTGGCAGCAGCGGGGAAGGAGCTGGCAGGAGCGGGGATCAGGTAAGTATATCTGCTTTTCTCCAGTCACCTAGAAAATAAAACAAGCATTTAACCCTTGCAGTTCCGGTATTTTTGGTTTGCTCAGAGATGGGCTTTAAAGCAACCGCCATTTTAGTAAGCACCAAGGCTGGGCGCAAGGTAAAGCTGATCATACAGTGGTCCAATTTCAGGTGAGTCGTGATGACTCCGATGAAATACAACCAGTGTGTGGCTCCATCTCGACCCCACCGTTCAACAACATTGCTTTATCAAATCGACTTTTGTTGAAGGAGCCGTTCCAAAAGATCCTGGCCAACCAATGTTCAAGTATTCTGACAGCGGCACAACCAGCGCTGTCAGGATACAGTAGACCTGCAGAGGGAATTCCCCAGGGGTGTGAGATTTAAAAAGAAAACTACTTGTCCAAAGACTAAAGCAGGGACCTGATCTACTTGTCCTGATAGAAAAAAATAATTTCAACCAAAACCGTATTTAACCATGTGAAGAAGCGCTTTTCATTGGTCAGCACAGTCAGGTGACTACACTGACCATGAGTGAGTGTTTGCAATTTGCGAGCCTAATTCAAGATCCATAGCACAGGGCTGCGCTGGACAGCAAGCAGTACGGGGTAGGAAAGTACACCAGTACCAGCGGAGGGGGAATGACAATTCGCCGAAAGGCAAGTATAGTGAGGGTGGAGAGTGGGCCAGATCTGAGCAGGCAATTCCATTCTCCCAAATTACTTGGGAAAGTGACCTTACCCTGTAATGCACATTGTGCGTGTAGGAGAGGGCTGCTGCCCAGCTACCACAATATGGCACACAGTGGAATGGGTGTAGCATGCGCACAATGCCCATTCAGATGCAAGAAGGCGGGGCAACGGGTTTTATTTTTTATCACTTAACTTTATTGCTATCACACAGTCTAACAAGCCCCTATGTGATACCGTTTGGAGGCGACAGGTTCTCTTCATGAAGCCTGCACTCCAATACAGAAGATGGACACAGCATTGTGCTGTTCCTCCTGTGCAGCCCAGCTTGTGACAGCTGAGACAGAAAGTGCTGAGAGTACATTGCTCCTATCTCACTGATAACACAGATCAGACGTTCTGCAGTCTGCTCCCCGCTCTCCATCCTGAAGTCATTCTTGCCGTAGGCCCGGGTCCCCCAGAAGAGCAAGGGACCCTGAAAACCACATCGAGTGGGGGGACTGGGAACCAACTGGTTGCTACAAGTGATCTGGGTGGCTGTACAGCTGTACAAAATGAGCACCGGCTCTACAGGTCTAAATATAATAAAAAAACAAAACACCTGCCTGGCCCCCCCGGAACAGCACGTCTCGGGCGATAGGAATTGCATACCCCTGTTCCCCCCTCATCAATAACAGTGGGGATGAGCAGGAAAAAATCTCATAGTGCACAGGCAGCCTAAGTCTTGGCTAAAAGGTATTTGCAGGCAGAGACTCAGTATGTACAGACAATTCCTACGCACACACCTGTGTGCAAGTTTATACAAAGACATTTCCTGGGAACAACCTTTACCACCTGTGCCTGGCTTTGGTAACCAGGGTGAGGTGATGAGACACACTTGGTTGCCATGAGCCACCGCTCCACTTTCCTAGCAGCTTCCATTACCCAGGAATGTACAGGTCACCATTAGGTAAGAATGTCCTGAGCCCTGACAACCCTGCTGTGACCCCCCCTAAGGTGACTCCAGACACAAGGACATGCCCAGGGTCACCAGCTCTGCCATTTTAACAAAAACAACTCTTCTGTCAGGGCCACTAACTAGGTTCTCTCCCCTCCCATGGCTGCCCGTGCAGCCCCCCCAGAATCGCACCCTCGCCATGCCTGCTATCCCCCCTGCACTGTGCACATACCTTGGCAGCCATGCTGTACAGAACTCACACACACTTCCCTTCTGACACTTCCACCACACGTGACGGTCGCCCCGCCTCCCAACACAGGAACGGCGGCCGCTGATTGGCTGAGCGGGGCTGCCCGTCCCTCCGGCCTGTCACGTGAACGCGCGTCCTTCGCCGGTGTGTAGAGGAGAAGTGTGAAGGGGAGAGCGCGATGACGTCACGCACCTGTCTGTGCGGTGTGTGTGTGAGGGGGAGAGGGCTTACTTACACACATACCATAAAGAATGAACTGACTGACTGTCTGTGCTCCGAGATAAGGAGCTGCTGTTATAATGAGACATACATTCATTCACACAGCCATGGCTCCTGTCCCTATTTTTAAACTGGCCCTGCTCCCTCTTCCTATTGCACTGTCTAAATATGTGGCCTGATCGAAAATAAACAAAAGCAAAAGTGTTCTATTGCACTTCCAATCCAACCTCTAACTTGCCCCTTCAGTGGAAGTGACAGGTTCTCTTGATTGTCCCCACCTCCTCCTGCTGCTGCTTATTTATTCATGCCAATTGCCCTGAAATCCAGGGTATTGCCCTGTATCTTTACCAAGTCACCATAGCATAGGGGTAGGCAACCTCGCGACTCCAGCTGCTGAAGGACTACAAGTCCCATGAGGCATTGCAAGATCCTGCCAACAATAGGAATGAGTGAATTTGTAGTTCCACTGCAGCTAGAAGGCCAAGATTGCCTACCCCATCACCCTACAAAATGTACAAATCTCTCTAGATTCCTGTCATGAACCAAAAACGCGACCCGGCCCTTTCCCCTGTATAGTTGTTAGGTGGCCCATATTAAAAAAAAAAACCCTGACATGCTCTTATGCAGTGCTTGGCAAACTCCAGCCCTCCAGCTGTCGTGGAACTATAAATCCCATGAGGAAATGTAGGATTCTCACAGCCAAAGTCATGACTCCCAGAGACAAATGCATGATGGGATTTGTTGTTTCACCACAGCTGGAGGGCTGGAGTTTGCCCAGCTCTGCAATTATGGGTAAGATTCTTTGAAGGGAATTCATCAAAAGTGGAGCCAACTTTCCAGAAACAGTAACCAAAACAGCTAAATACCCGTTTACGGGGGGGGGGCTATCAAAAATGCAGCAGACATAATGGGGAGCAGTTGACAATGGCAACATGTTCTTGGGCCAACCCCTACCTGCCACGTCCCCACCACACCCCTGCCCCTACCCGCCATGCAATGTCGCCGAGCAGATAAAAGGGGACATCAGAGGGAGATGTCACGCAGTCACGCTAGGCGGTGTATAGTAGGGGTGGAGCAACTCTACGCAATGCCGAAGGCATAGTAAACAGAACGGTGCCGCGTGTGTATCTCCTGGGGCAGTTGCTTTGAGCTTGGGACAAATGCCCCTTTTGCCCCACGTTAAAGACGGCCCTGCTAAAAGGTTTACTTCCACAAACACTGATCAGGTCATGTACATGATTGGCTCCTTGGCAGGTTCTTCCTTCCATGGCCTAAACTGTATTGTATAGGGCAGAGTTTCTTAAACTATGGGTCAGGACCCAAAATGGGTCATGGATGTGTTTGGAATTTGTCCAGAATTGACAGCAGCAGTGGGCGGGTGCATTAGCTAGTTTGCTATTCGATATTGCAAAATGAAATAGCCAATAGCAATCTAGCTATTCATTAATTTGCTGTTTTTGTTTTTTTTATCTGACTGACTGCGGCCGGCGCACCGATGTCAGAAAAAAACAAAAAACAAACATCGCAGGGAAAGGTTTACTCTGTTCGATACAGCAGAGTAGACCTTTCTGGGAGAAAATGTTTCTCTCCCGGGGAGCCGCTATCTAATAGCGGGAGACTCCCTGAGCATCCGGGAGAGTTGGGATGTCTGCAAGTCTGACCACCACCTCTTGTCTGATTGCACTTTGCAATAGCCAATAGGAATCTAGCTAGCTATGCATTCGTATGCCTTTTTTTTATTTTCTGACTGACGGTCGGGCCGTAGCTCCCGATGTCAGAAAAGAAAAAAAAAAACGATCGCAGGGAAAGGTTTAATCTGCTTTCTGATTAAACCTTTCCTTTCCGGGAGGAAGTGTTTCTCTCCCAGGCGGCCGGGAGCCGCTATCTAATAGCGGGAGACTCCCGGAGCGTCTGGGAGAGTTGGGATGTCTGCCATTGGTACCTGGGCCTTCAAGTACCAATGTTATCCAGCACCAGTGTCATCTAGTACCAGTAACAGCCAATACTAGTGTCAGCCCGTACCAATGTCATCCATTACCAGTGCCAGAAAAAGTGTCATCCAGTGCCAGCCATAACCATTGTCATCCAGTACCTGTGCCATCCAGTACCAGGGCCATTCATTATCACTGCCAGCCAATACTACATTACCAGTGCTTGTACAGCCAGTACCAGAGGGAGCCAGTTTGTGTTCCAGTGTCATCCAGTACTTCATAATCAAGTACCAGTGGTAGCCAGTACCACCATCATCCAATACCAGAACCATCCTGTACCAGTGCCTGTACAGTCAGACCTAGTGTCATCCAGTACCAGTGTCTGTACAGCCAGACCCAGTGTCATTCAGTACCAGTCCCTTTACAGCCAGTACCAGTGCCAGCCAGAACCAGTGCCTTATTACTACTAGTGCCAGCCATTTTGCGTGTTCTTCCATGGTGCCCAATCAGCTTGACAGAAAGAAAAGGGTCGGGGTGCATTGATGTCACTGGTTATATATCACTGCATATATTAGGTAAATGACATTCACCAGATATGACCATATGGCCATGTGAGGTAAATTATGCCAGCACAAGCATCCCTCCCCTTTGTATATGGTCAGCTCTGCGGGAGAGAATACCCTGACCTGCAGTTGATTGGGCAGGAGGCCCATGTAGCTTCTATGTTTGGATGGGCTCAGGTTTGTACTAGGTTCAATCAGAACCTGAGCTCATCCCTACTAAAGCATATTAGCACTTAGTTCTGCTTGCACTGTTGCTGGCATCGTTGCCTGATCTTCCAGGTTCGGCATCTTTGGCCATCTTGGCAGGCCGGGCCGGGATGGCGTAGCTTCTGCTCATTCACATTCATACTCATTTATCCCAAAACAAGAAAGAATGCACACTGAGCCATGCATACAGGTGCTTCAGGTAAGTGCTTACATTTGAGTCAGTATCAGCTTCTTGCAATCCCTATATAGCAGATCTCAGACTGTGAAAGGGAAGGGCATGAATGGGAGCCAATCAGGTGTGCTGCATGTGCTAACAATAGATATGCTGAAAGAAGCAGAGAGCAGAGTGAAAAAGAGATGACTGCACCAGTCTGCTGCTTCTTTTCTCACTGTGCATTTGCAGGCTGGAGGAGGGACAAGGCACCTGACTGCAGCAGAAGAAAATCAGGTTCGCTTCCCTGGTAGACACGGCTGTGCTGTGTGGCAGATCTGTGTAATGCTGGGCACACACCTTACAACCATCGCAAGACTTTTGTCTTGCGATGGTTGTAAGGTACTTAAAAAAACGTACGATCTGCCTATCTTGCATAGGCAGATCGTACTTGCGATGATCGCAAGCCACGCCCCCTGGGGGCGGGCTTCGGATGACCGCAATGCCGAACTGGCAGTGTGCGCTTGTGCACACCGGCCCGTCTGGCTTTTATCTCACGAACATACTATACACCCGCCGAACATTGTACGATGCTCTGCGGGTTTTGAAACATGCCTGTAAGTTTAAAGTCGTGCGACCTTACAGTAGTAGAGGTCGCACGGCTTCCACACACCTTACGATAATCGTACGATCGCGGGATCTCCCGCGATTATCGTACGATTATCGTAAAGTGTGTGGGGACCTTTAATCTCAGGAGTGGACAGACAAAAATACAAATCCATTAGCAGGTAAAAAATCTTGCATGTACGTATTTCTTCTGTGCATTTAGCTGTATTCCTGGAGTTAGGAACTGAACAAAATAATTTGAATAGCTTCTCCTGGAAACTGTTTAGATGTCTGAATAACACATTTGTCTCAGTTTCTGAAGCTGGTACATCTGCTAATGTGTAAATTACCCGATCTCTGAAAGCAGGCACCCAGAATAATTTGGTGTCTGTGTGAGGCACAGGAACTCACTGGCTGTTTTTCCCATTTATAATACAGTTCAAAGTGTGATTACGCTGAGGCATTGCACATGCTTAGACTCCTAAGCTGGCCATTAATTCGGGCTGGTTCCTACTAAACTTCGATCCAAAGGTGGCCCGGCTGGCACCACCAGGCCCATCTGAAATCGTTTTCTTTCAATCGACTTTTGTCAAAGGAGTCGGGTGCACCCTTAAGGGCTGCCTCCAGGTGAGTCTGCTCTCTGTTTGTACATTGTTATATACTCTATGTCCAATAGCAACTCAGATAGTTTAGAGTTACAGGCTGCACTTATTAGAAATAAAAAATCACTGGGAAGTCAGAATTTTCAGCAGAAGGGACATGCAAGGTCTCTTCTAACAACAAAGGTTCTCCCTCTTTCCTCCAGCGATTTTTCTTTTTCGTGTGTTCACTGTACATGAAATACGCTGTGCAGTGTACACACTCATCCCATTCATAGCATACTTGGAATGGGCTGGGTGGCCAGGACGATGTAACTCCTGTGCGCATGTGCAGGGGTTACATCATCAGTGGTCACCCAATGGTCGAAGAGGATTCCCAAGGAAGCCAGAGCTGGCGGCAGTGGGGAACCAATCAGGAAAGAGAGGATTCATTGCACAGCAGTGGGGAAAGATGCACTTGAAAGGTAAGTGTGCCTTAACATGCAAATATGGTGCGCATTCTTACACATTATGGCAAAACCCCACAAAGAAAGGAACAGATTTACTGAAGCTTTAAGGAGGATAGGGTTGCCTCCAGGTGAGCCTGCTCTCTGTTTGTGAATTGCTATTTATGTCTCATAGCTGGAAAACTCAGATAGTTTAGAGTTAAGCTGGCCATATGCTGTAACATATTCTTTGTTCAACCCGTGGGCTGAATGAAGGAAATGTTACAGATTCCTCCATCAACGTTACGAGCATCGATCGAGGAGTTTCCTGCTGTCTTCATTGTATTTTGACAGTGGCCGCTG